GGTTTAGGGTTTGGGGCGCGTTGGGGGGATCTTTGCCTGTTGCACATTACTAATTATCATTTATTCATTTATTTAGTATTAAGTATTTATTTATTTATTTTTATTTATTTATTTATTTATTTATTTATTTATTTATTTATTTGTTTGTTTGTTCATCTATTTGTTTATTTATTATTAGGCGATGAGGCGGGAGCTGTAGAGATTCAAACGGAGTGTCTGCACCTTGCCGAGTAAATTAAAATTAAAATTAAATTCAATTTAATTTAATTTAATTAAATTGAATTAAATTAGATTAAATTAAATTAAGTTAATTAAATTAAATTAAATTAATTTAAGTAAATTAATCAAATTAAGTTAAATTGAATAATTTAAATTAAATAAATTAAATTAAGTTAAATTAAGAATGAAAATTAAAATTAAAATAAAAAATAATGATAAGCTTGAATTTAGTGTTGCAGTTCAAATTAAATTCGAATTAAAATAATTTATTTTAAGTTTCTCTCTTGCTTCCTCATATATTTTTAATTCTTTTTAATTCTTTTTTAATTCTTTTTTAATTCTTTTTAATTCTTTCAATTATTTTAATTTCTTTATTTATTTTACTCCTTTTATATTCTTCTTTATTATCTTTATTATTCTTGTTCTTTAACCAATTAATTTTATTTTTTTATTCTTTTTAATTTTTACTTAATTGATTTGATTTCGTTAATTTATATTTATTTTTATTTTTTTTTCTATTTTGGCTTCTTGTTTTTTATTGTTTTTTGGCTCTTCCTTACTTTTCGTCTAAAACAAAAAACCAATTAAAATCAACAATTTAATTAAATAAATAATTAATTTGTTGAATTATTTACATATTTATTTATTTATTTATTTATTTATTACTATACTTAAAAAGTTAATTAATTAGTTAAATTATTTATTTATTTACTTACTGACCTGCTTTTTATCACTCTACTTATTATTGCTATTTATTTATTATTTAATTTTTCTATTTGTTTGTTTGTTTGTTATTACTGTTTATTTATGTATTATTTATTAATATATACCCATATCTATTTATATATTTATTTGTTTATTTCTATTTATTTATCTTTCTTTTATTTATATTTATTTATTTATTTATTTATTTCTTCATATTTATTCTTACTTGTTTATTTCTTCATTTTGATTTGTGTATCTATTTATTCATTTGTTTGTTTATTTATTTATTTATTTCTATTTATTTATTTTTTTATTTTTATTTATTTATTTATTTATTTATTTATTTATTTTTATTTATTTCTAGAGAAGGAAAAGACAGCCGCAAAGAGTGTCGGGCAAGAGCCGCTTTGGCTGCGGCCTTTCGAAGACGGGACTGCAGCGAAGTAAATAAACAAAATTATTTATTTATTATTTATTTCTTATTTATTTATTTCTTATTTATTTATTTATTTCTTATTTATTTATTTATCTATTTACATATTATTTATTATGTATTTATCTATTTATTTATTTATTTATTTATTTATTTATTTATTTGCTTATTTATTTAGTTATTCATTCATTATTGTATGAATACAGAAATAAATGAACAAACTAGTTAATTAATTAATTAATCAATTGATTAATTAATTGATGAATAAATCAAAGAAGAAGTTAATTGTTTACTCAATTATTTACTTACTGAATTATCGAATAAATCAATAAATAAATAAATGCATTAATTAATTAATTAATTCAATATTTCAGTAATTAATCCATTAATTAATTAGCTATTAAACAAATAATAAGATTAGTTAGTTAGTTAGTTAGCTAGTTAGTTAGTTTGTCAATTATTTAACTAATTAATTGATTAGTTAATTAATTATTTAATTAAGTAGTTTATTATTAAATAATTAAATTAATGAATAATTAATTAGAAAATAAATACTTAGTTAATTAAATTTTCTCAATTTAATTAATTTCTGTAACGGAGTTATTTACTATTTTTAATATGTAGAAGGTTTAACTATTAGCCATTAATTATTATATCATTTTCTTAGAAAAATGGTTAATAAGTATTTATTTGTGAATACTCTTTATATATAATTGCTAAATGACAATTAATAATCATTGATTATATTCAATTTGTAAAAAATTCACTATTTTTTATTACATTTAACTCATAAAAAGTGAATTATTAATTATTACATTTAACTTATAAAAAGTGAATCAATAATCACGTATTTATTATTACTGATCATATTTAATGGTGATTAATTATGTTTAAATAATTAATTACACTAAATTTGTAAAAAGTGAATTAATAAACATGAATTATGTGTAATCTATAAAACGTGAATTAATCATCACTTATTTCTTATTACTCATTATATTTAATAATAACGAATTATGTTTAATAGTAACGAATTATATTTAAAAACTATTAACTACATTTAATTTATAAAAAGTGAATTTCATAGTTATTAATTGTATTTAATTTAAAAATGTGAGTTAATAGTAATTACGTATATTTAATTTATAAAACGTGAATTAATTACCACTTATTTATTATTACTGATTAGATATAATTAATTATTATTAATAATTACTATATTTAATTATTACTTGTTCAATATAATAATAATTAATTACATCTAATAATGATTAATTGTATTTAATTTATATTTAATTTATAAAAAGTGGATTTAAAAAAAGTAATTAAATTTATAAATCCTCATTTCGGGTGTACGTACAGGAGGCTGTGGAGGAGCTGGAGGCGCTTTTGGCCGCGGCGACAAAGGCGGTGAGAAAATCCAAAAAAGGAAAACTTTGCGCAAAAAGGGTCAAATAAAAGCAAATTGAATAAATAAGTCGAATTAAATTGAATTAAATTAATTAAATTAATTAAATTAATCCAGAAAAGGGGGGAAAAGAGAAAAAAACGAGCAAAAATGAACAGAAGACGCAGTTTTCGACTTGGTGCAAAACGCGAAAACGAGAAATGCAAAAAGACGAAAAGCGGAAAAGTGAAATAAAAAAGAAAATAGATAAATGAAATTAGAAATGAAATAAATGAAAAATAAAAGAAAATAAAATAAATGAAGAGAAAATAAAACAAATAAAGAGAAATAAAAGAAATAAAAGAAAAAGAAAAATTGAAAAGTTTTGCTGCTGCAGGGAGATGCAGCAAGCCAGTCTTTTGCTTGCGCCCAATTGGCTTTTCTTTACCAGCAGCAGCAGCAGCAAGAAAAAGCTCTGCTGCTCTGCCAAAGATACTTCGACTTCGCCAGGTCCTGCTGCTGCTGATGCTGCTGCTGCTGCTGCTGCTGCTGACGATGATGGTGCTGCTGTTGATGATGATGATAATGATGCTATTGCTGTTGCTGCCGGTGCTGATGCTGCTGCTGCTGATGAAGATGCTGCTGCTGCTGCTGCTGCTGCTGATCCTGTTGATGCTGCTGCTGCTCATGATGATGAGGCTGATGAGCTACTTCGACTTTGCCAGGTTCCTCAGCCTCCTGCTGCTGCTGCTGCTGCTGCTGGCCCTGCTGCTGCTGCTGCTGCTGGTCCTGCTCCTGTTGCTGCTAATCATGCTGCTGCCGCTTCTGCTGCCGTCAATACTGCTGCTCTGTTCCTGTTAAGGCTAGCGCTGCTGCCGCTGCTGCTGCTGGTGATTTTAATGTTGTTGTCGTTGCTGCTGCTGCTGCTACTGCTGCAGCAAGAGCGGCGTGGCAGAGAGTATTGAAGCAGCAAGAGCTTCTTTGGGTTTTTCCAGCGGGGCCATTTCTTTTTCTTTTTTAAAAAATACCATTAATGACATTCAAGCCCTCGCAGACTGGAAGTGCTCCTTTAAAGCAGCAGCGGCAGCAGCAGCAGCAGCACCAGCAGCAGCAGCAGCTCCAGCAGCAGCAGCACCAGCAGCAGAAGCAACGCCAGCACCTGCAGCAGCAGCAACAGAAGCAGCACCACCAGCAGCAGCAACAGCAGCAGAGGCAGCTCCAGCTGAAGCAGCACCAGCAGAAGCAGCACCAGCAGAAGCAGCACCAGTAGCAGCAGCAGCAGCACCAGCAGCAGCAGCAGATGCTGCTGCTGCTGCAAATTGAAGAAGAGTCTGCTTGTTTGGCGCGTTTCCTTTTTTGCACTGTAAGAGATTTGCTGAATTGCATTTAATGCAATTTATCCAAAAAGCAAAATCTACTCTTTAAAATAATTATTATCTATATTTATTTTTATATTATGCAAAATAGATATTTTTATTTTCATTTTTAACTTTTATTTGTAAACAGTTTAAAGCTTTTAATATACTTCCTTACACTTGGTGTACGTACACCGCATGCATGCACGGATTTACAAAATATATTTTTAAATAAACATTTCTTTACAAATATTCCACGCTTATATATTTATCATTTATATATATATTATAATACATATAAACATATTATAGTCACTATATATATGCATTTAGTATTACCTGTTTATTAATATAATTGTATATTCAGAAAACCAGATAAAATTAAAAATAAATAAATAATAAATATTATTTATTATTCATTCTTTCTACTCTTCTAAAAGTGGAAGTTTGAAAAAGTATTTTTCTCGCGAGGGGGAAACTACAAAGAAAAGAAATTGAGCGGCTGCAGCTTTGGCAGCTGCAGCAACGAAAATAAAACCCTAAACCCTAAACCCTAAACCCTAAACCCTAAACCCTACTCTTCTCTGTTGGTGGCGCGGAGAGAAGCGCCTCGAATCTATTAAACAATTAGTTATTATTAAATTTCAATTTGCATTTTTTAATTCATAAAATGACGCGTACACCTCAGAGCTGCCTATACACCCCAGAGGTGCCTGTACACCCTAGAGCTGCCTATACACCCGAGAGCTGTGCATGCGCCTCGACGCAATTCTCCTTTAAAAGATAAATTCAGTTTATTTAAATTATTAATCATTTATTTTAATGTTAAAACTGCTTTTGCTGCTGCATTGCTGACAAAGTCCGCCAATTCTGGAAACGCAGAACGCCGGCCGCGAGGTGTACGTACACCTCAGCTGCTGCTGCAGCCGCTCGTTCAGCTTTTCCAAAAAAAATTATCTTTACAAAAACTTGAACGAAAACTCAAACGCGAAAAAACAATTGGTCCTCAAAATCCAGCAGCAACACAAAAACAAGACGCAACAGCAGCAGCAGCAGCAGTAGCAGTAGCAGCTCTCACACTACTGCTGCTGCGGCTGTGCGCATGGCTGCTGCTGTTGTAGCTGCTGCTGCTGTCGCTGCTGCTTCTCGTGCTGCTGTTTATCTTGCTGCTGTAGCTCAACTGTCATTTACTTCTTTAAACTGAATTTCGCTTTAATAAGCCAAAATCAAAAAGACGGAAAACGCATGCAGGGATCCCCTGCGGTGTATGTACACCCCCAAACCCGCAGCAGCAGCAACCGCAGCAGCACTTTGGAGCTTCGTTTGTTGCATGAGTGGCGCAGTGGCTGTTCGTGCTGCGACTGCTGCTGCTGCTGCTGCTGCTGCAGCTTGACTGGCGCTGCTGCACCTAGCGTTGCCGCTGCTGCAGCGCCTACTGGTTGTTGTGCGGGTGGGTCTGCGGGTGCTGCTGGTGCTGCTGGTGCTGCTGGTGGAAGTGGGCGTCTTGCTGCTGCTGCTGCTGCTGCTGCTGCTGCTGCTGGTGCTGCTGCAGCATGGCGGGAGGCGCAGCAACGAGGGTGCCGTCTGGCCTGAGGATTTGGGGCTCTGCTGCTTCCTCAGCAGCAGCTCTTTCCTCCTCAAATGCTGTTGCTGCTAGGGGCCCCACAGGAGCAGCAGGCCGCTGCAGCAGCTTGAGAGAATAAACAAAAGAGAACTCGAGAGCAGCAGCAACATGCGCCACGAAGTACTTGAACAAGTTGCGCTGCTGCAGCAGCAAATACTGCCCCGCCACCTGCCCTATTAAGTGCTGCGCAGAGTCCGTCAGGGCTGTAAACACCCGCACCTTCTCTGCTGCAGCAAGCCGCTCCCCTTCTGCTGCTGTTGCTGCTGCAGCACGCAGCTCCTCAGCAGCAGCAAGGCCCCTTCGGATTCGAGGCAGCCACAGCAAAGCCCACGCCTTCCGCACAACTCCAGACACGTCTTCCATGAACATGGCCAGAGCCTGGGCCCTGCTGAGGCCGGGGGGCCCCCCGGGGGGCCCCCCGGGGGCCCCCCCGGGGGGGCCCCCGGG